TTAGGCACGTTCAGGACGTGGCTAAAAATAATATTGCATTGCTCTAAGACCACTGATGGGTTCTCCTATCACTCAATAAATATATAAATAGAAAAAACATCATAGTTTATTTAACCAGCTGCAGCCAAGGACCATACGAGTCAACCAAGGAGAAACCAAAACTTAGTAGTACCAAAACCACAAACCTTACACTTCCTTTGGCAACACCTGTCTTGTAATGATCTCCCACCTCCCCCCATCTTATCCTTCTGTCAAGCTGGAAAGAAAAAATAAAGTGGACAAGTAACTACACGTACTACTACCTTGAAGCCATGTTAGGGATTAGGGATTTTTCCCTTTTGATAATCGTTTCTCCCGTCTACAGTTCCTTGAAAACCACAGAGGATTAAAGAAACACTTAAGGCTTTAATTTTATACTTTATTTTTAAACCATAACTAGATTCTCAATATCAAGTGCATAATCTAATTATTATATTAATCTTGTTATATTTATCTTATATTTATTCTTCATCAAACATCGATCTGACTTTGACTCATCGAGGACAAAAGCTAGTGACAAATCTGTACATAAGAGCTTCATCCACAGTTCTTCACTATGTTTCCAGTCCATTACAATTCCACAAATATAGAGGCAAAACAAATATTTAAAATTTAAAGGTCTCTGTCACTATAGTCCCATATTTCAATTTCCAGAAATCAACGCAAAAAGCCAGCAATCTTTCTGTCCAGGTCATCTTCCACTATCTTCCACTATCGCAGTTTCTGTCCAGGTCATCTTCCACTATCGCAGTACCTAATAAACTGCTTTTTTAAAAATGTTAAGAAAGAGATGTGTTTCATGTTTTGTTATTTTTGTTCTGCACAGCTACAACCCAACTTCCAAGGGTGAACAACGTGTTTGTTTAATCATATCAAGTCTGAAAAGAAATAATTTATCTTGTCAGGTCTGAAACAGAAATGTGCTTCATTGCATGTTTATTTAAAATAAACAGGTAATTCTGATTTGGATTTTGTTTGTGTGATGCTTTTCAGTTTGACTCATATTCGAGCAACTGAGATTGCCATTATCTAATGAGGCAATGAATGAGAATGTCTTAGACTGGAAGTAATTCAGAGTGTGGCGTATCGTGTAGCTCTCTGGTGAATAAATACACCGCAGTGTTGAAATAACAAGTATAAACAAGAAACATTGCTACAGACGTAGAAAAGTTTTTATCATATTTTTTTTCCCGAGGCTCAGAGTCTGTCAGAACCAAATTCTCTCATGAATAACATCATTAATGGATGTGTTGTAAGTGGGATGCAAGAACGAGGCCTTTCACATGTTTGGCTCTCGGTAATAATGGAGATTTGCTGGCCTGGCGTTAGCCTCATTTCACTCACTAATCTTATACAAGCATAATCTTGCACTTACAAACACGGCAACAAAGGCAAGTTAAACCGTTGGCGGTTCTGTCCGTGCAAGGCTCGCTATCTGGGAGCTCAATGCTCTCTGCCATTTGAACAACAGAGAAAGGGCTGCTAACTTCCTGTCTTGATGTATGTTACACAAAACAACAAGTTTTCAATCAGAGTCCAGATATTGCTTCCTCGCAGTGAAAGCTGCTTTTCTTAAATCTGAGGAGTGTGGGTCCTTATCGTAGCCAGTCAGACACCGAGAGACCCTGGCTGCCGTCATCCCAACCTCTGGGTCCGTATGAAGAGGGATTAGAGAGGCCTCAGCCTGTGTTGCTGCCATTGTTTACCCAGGGACTAGGGGCTGGCTGAAACGCCCCCCTGTCAACACCACAATACAATGGGAAACAAGGAAGTGGCAAGATCCGAGAGAGTCGCACACACACATGCCATTCCCTTGATCTTGGAGGATCGAGGTGGTATTATTCAAAAGATACAAAGGGGTGGAAACGAGATGAGGGGGGGTGGCCTGTTAGCAACTGCAGCCAGATTATAAAGAGATGCAAAGAGAGGTGGCAATGTTGACGCGCGAAGACTTTACAGTAGAATTCAGCACATAAATGGACAAACCCGAGTAAATAATGTTTCTTCTCGGAAGAACTAGAAAGAAGATTTATATTATTATGAAGAGGTTATATTTTAGCCACCAGGGGCAGGTTGACAACTCAGACAGAGAAAGGTAGATGAGTTTTTTGGAGGTGTCACTGTCATGTTTTTCCCCAACAGTCCCCCAAACATGTCTCTCAGCTGCTTCCTGACAATCACTTAACAAATGACAACATGATTTGTCATTTGTCTTACACGCAAAATGACCAGGAAGTTCCCCTCAACACATCATGAAGCAGCCGCATACAATTTAAAAAAACCAAAAAAAAAAAAAACCCCGGTGACTAATTTGATTTAATCCTAGCCAAAATCAGAACCATTATGATACTCTGTTCCCACATGTACAGTTATTGTCCAGGAGCAGGGAGCGAGGAGGAGGTGTTTCTGAATGTTCTGCGTGTCGTCTTCAGAGCTTGTTGACGTCTTGGTGTGACCACAGCTTCCACATCACAGGGAGTTTCACAGCCTCCCTGCCAATAAATACAACTGCACGCTGCTGAATATCACGCGTCTAAGTGCTTCTCAATTTTTTTGGACAGGAACCTGAGATTCTTTTACCGTTTTGATCAAATAAAACCTACGATTTTAGATTTCAACATTCAAAGGCACTGACACGTTGTTCAACCAATCAATGTCGAGAGTGTAAGTATGGAGACATTCTTACTTTACATGCCAAAACTTTGGATCCATGACAGTTACTTAATGCAATCCACCACACACACATACACACAGAAACGATGTGTGATAAAAGTTTAGTCCTGTCTTTCAGTCCCACAAATATCCTAAATACTTGGCCATTCCCTATGAGGAGAGTGCTGATAAAATGCCTCTTAACTCGTGAGGGATTAATAAAGTGATATCTATCTAAAAGTACTGCAATATGAGTATTATCGATGGGTGACAGTTAAAAAAAAACAACTATGATGGGTTAAGAAGTTCATTTGTAAATCTTAATGATCCCACAAGAATCCATTTTTATAATCATTTCAGAGATAAGAAATTATCATAATTATTTCCATTCTGATAGCCTACAGTGCGGTTATATCATTAAACATAGTTTAAGAATAGAAAATTCAGAGAAAATAGTCAGAATTTAGGGATTGAAATGAAAGTATCTGGAGAAAAAAACTTGGGCTTTTTCTCAAATTCTGCCCTAATATTCACCTCTTCAATTAATTATTTAATTCATTAATATAAAGTAATAATCTTCAATTAATTATTTAATTCATTAATTATTAATTATTAATAAAGTCCAGGAAAAAAAATTTAAAACGTAACAAAGATCCAAAAAATTCAAAAGATTCATCATTTTTTTTAAGCACTGCAATTAAATTCTTTGAAACATTATATCTGGCTGATCATATAACTTAAAACTAAATCTAAAACTAAAGTTTATTATCAGTATTTTAGAATACTTTCTTGAGAATGTCAGGATTCTGAATAGAAAAAGAAAAACTTTTGACTTTAGGGGGAGTCATTGGTTTCTAATTTTCACATCACAATGATCTCTCTAAAAATATGTCATTTTGAACTTGTTCTTGTTCACCATGAGAATGATCCAAATATTAGCAAAACAGCATTAAGACATGGACACACACAGGCAGACAGACAGACAGATGAAACATGTCTTCCCGCTCCATGTCAACACCAAACCTTGAGGAAAACACCAAACAACTACTTTTTTATGCGTGTCTTTCCGAACCGTTCTTTCCCGTTGCATCTGCCTCAAAACCCTTAAATCACTACTCGGTTCCTTTCAAGTGGCAGGTAGACGGGACCTGATGTGTCTCTACCGCCTCACAACCAGCGGGCTAATTATAAGGGAAGCAGCAACAAGTGAGCATTGTGTGGAGTCTCCAAGACACACAGAGAAAGAAAGTGCTCTTTATCTTTTTACCCCCCCCCCTTACTTCTCTCTCTCTCTCTCTCTCTCTCTCTCTCTCTGTCAACAAACAGCATCTGTAAGAGGTTCTAGAGTTGGCACTTTGGTAGTGCAGAAGAAGTAGAAGAAGAAGACAGAAGAAAAGAGAAGAGGGGAGTAGAGTAGCGGAGGGGAGAGGAGAGGAGAGGAAAAGGGAGAGGAGAGAACTGATGAGCGACAGACATCACCACACTTGCTCGCCACGTTTGTCTTGTATGCCGGATGCACAGTGTATCGCAGTTCAAGCATGCATAAGGAAGTATTCTTGTCCACTTGTACAAGTCTTTGTAATCGAACGTATCCTCAGTCAAACTGACGGGGAGAGTAATATGCTTAGAAATGCACTTTTTAAAAAATGAAAAATAGTGTGGCTTTTGTAACTGGAGTAGAGAATAGAAGTGTGTAGATAGTAGAGAAAAGGAAGTTGTCCTGTCTTTTTTTGGTGTGTGTTGTATGTATTAACTTTTTAGTTTGTGTTTAAATAATAATCCCTTCTCTGTCCTTTTGCTGGATAAACACAGGTAGATGTGCTTCACTAAAATTACAAATTTTATTTCTATTGCATTTTTAGCAAGTGTTCTTTAATAAGGAATGGCAGGTGTGAAGAATAAGAACGGTAATTTGGTTATAACTAATATGAAGAGTTCTGGGTGGATATGGTAAGGATGAGGAGAAAACAGCAACACCGCGTTCACATCCCCTTTATAACATGTATTTCCTCAACAGCAGTTGAAAACAAAAGAACTTGGACAGCGTCAACAGCAACACTAAATATTTTTTTAAAAACATTCATCAAATAAAAACATGACCCCTGCCTTGGCGCACAAAACAGACACAACATGTTCACTGTTTTGACATGAAACCAAAGAGCTGTGATTAAATGGCACAGAGTTGCCCTGCACTTAAAAGCAACACACACACACACACACAAAAAAAGGTTTTTGCACACACAAATTAAAAAGCACAAAACCTAAATAGAGGATGACGCACTGATGTACGAGGAAAGAAGATAACTTACGGATGGAGAAACCGAGCTGTTGGGGAGGTAGGGGTCAGGCAGCATCAGGAAGGGGTATCCGGGGTAAGCTGGCGTCTTATACATGCCTCCATCTTGCTGCTTCGACACTGTTGTCAGACAAAAATTAAATTTAAGTTAAAAAGAAAAAAAAAATCAGTCAGTGGCGACTAACAATGTTGTGTCATTTTAAACTGATAAAATAGCACCAAACATTTAAAGCACAATCAATTTACAATGCTACTTACTTCCTGAATGTGTTCAGAAGGTTCTGGCCCTGTGCTGCTACGCTAAACAAAAAGTCTGACATCCAAACTGCTATATGCATACAAAGAGGGTCACCGATTTACAAGTGTTCTTGTTACTACATGCTATTTCCTCGTATGAGCCCAGAAGACAATGACAGAGACAAAAGTGTGACAACCTTCATCTAGTCTGAGAGGCGTCAACTCATGTAGCCTATGTGTTAATTTATCTCCCACCACCACCACCCACATTAAGCATCAGGGGCCTCTCTGTGGGCCCACTGCTACCATATGGGTGGAACCTAAAAAAGGCAATACCTGAAACACACACACACACAAACACACACAGACAGATAGGCTTAACTTAAAGACGGGTCAAATATGAAAAAAAAAAAACTAAAAAAAAAAACCCTGCAATCTTGTAATCAGGACTCATTCAGGGGGGTCATTTGTTTTCCCCCTTGACCGTATATGTGTTTCTTTGAGACCCCCCAGATAGACACATTTATAACCACAACTCCACTTTTGATAAAGACTATACTTAAGGCAACACGCTGTGAGAGCATTTTCATTTCAGAAAACACTGAAGTGATTTCCATCGACTGACTACATCCTACACTGATGCCTTTAATTAAAACTGACATGTATACATTTGCCAAAGGGAGGGAAAGTGAAATTACTGTTCTTTTTGGGTGGCTACCCTGACACAAAAAACACACCATCAAGGACCCTGCTACACTTTTGGGAAATTATGGTATGTTGGTACTGTAAAAAAAACAAAAAAAAAACAGGGTTTGACTATAAAAACATTAAAAAAATACATGCAGGGGTGTCTATATGTATTTGATGTTTAAGACCTGGAGAGCAGTTTTGTTTTTGAATATAAATAATATATTTTCTCTTTTTATACGAAGCATTATAAAGCATTCTGGATAAACTCTTCAAAATGTTTTAATGAACTTCTGTATGTAGAATGACAAACTACCAGAGGAGACTCCAGGATCAACTTGGTGTCAGTGTCTGACTCGGGGACATGTGGAGTAGCGACAGCTCAGATCCATTCACCAAAATCATTGCACAAAATGCACAAGGCAAGCACCAAACATGTCAGACAAAATGTTGTGTTTTTTTTAACATGCAATTTCTCAAAGTCTTCTTCATGTTTGGAAGTAACCCTCTTCTTAAATGAATATAAATATTCTTGTGATATGTAATAAAACGATTTGACATTTCCAAGAAAAAGAAAGAACAAAACCCAATGTTTTTACAGTTTTCACAGCCCCAGAACTGAGTTCTGGTATTTATTCTAGGAGTTGGGGAACCTTGAATTACACAGTAGGAACCATAAAACTTGTACGTGGATGTGACTGGAGCTGAGCTCATGCGAAACGCAGACAGAGGAAGGTGGAAGATTTGAGAGGTTGAAGGAAAGAGTTGTTGACACGATGCCGTTTAGTTATAACGCAAATGATTTGAAACAGTGATGGCCACAAAAGGACTCTGAAAGTAAAGTCTGTGGAGTTTTTTTTTATTTATATATAGGCTCTTACCTCCGTCAATATGCTCCCGCTGTTTCTCTGCAAAGCCCCTCTGCTCGCCCTGCTGTCCTCGTCTGACCGCCTAGAAAGTAGAACAAACACAGGAGGTCAGATTACTCAAAAAAGAAAAAAAGACTGCAGGGGAAAAAGGTCAGTGTATCCTGAAGATAAATGGCCACACGTGCTGTAGGAAGTCAGAGGGATTCATGAGGTAAAGAGGTGCTGGTGTTCAAAAGAAAACTTTGACCACTGGAAACCTGATGGTGATTTGATGATTATATTTGATCCCATAAATAAACTTTTACACTGCCAGTCTGTTTGTAAGTCAACTCTATTTATCTCACATACACACAGTGGACATTAACTTACACACGGCGCATCTACGAACATCACACTTTTTGTAAATCTACTCACACAGTGTATATCTACTTACACACACACACCACGCACCCGCAGTTACACGTTGTGTATCATCTTGCAACGCCACCATAAAAGTACACTCAAGTGTCCAACAAAGAGACCTCTACTTACTCTCCACTCACAGACACTACACGACCGCTCACTTGAACACACTTGGTGCACTCACACACACTTCAATGCCCTGTCTTATATACGGTGTGTGATTGCTGGAACACACTTTAATACCACTCACACACGCTGTACGTCCAATGAAGCACACTTTACTTTGGCAATAAAAACACACAATATATATTGCCTCACACTCACTGTATGTCCACACAAGCAGGTTATATATCCACCAACACTCCATATATTCCTGGGGGACACAGTGTATTTCCACTCACAATGATGTTTTTTCCCCCATTCAAACACATTATATATCTACTAACAAACTGCAAGCTAACTGAAGCATGCTGTTCATCCACTCACACACACACACTGTGTTGCCAGCTCACTAGTATACAATCTCACTCACATACTCACACACACACACACAAATGTTACTATTTGTCCACTACTACTAAAACACACTTCCACACAAACAGTGTATGTCCACTTAAAAACTATTGTCCATTCACCCACACTGTCACCCGACACACACACACACTGTTGTCAACTTCACGTCCACTCTCTCTCTCTCACACTGTACATCACACTGTATATTCAATCACAGATTGTTGAGTCACTCACACGTCCTGCGTCTACACACACTTATCATCACACAGCCCCTGCGTGTATCCATACACACTCACACACACACACAGACAAACACTCAGTACCTATTCACTCAGACTCTCCGTGCATCTACTCACAGACTCTTCCACTGACTCACTCACTCACACATACACACGCACTCCGTTTCTCCGTGGCACCTACCGCTGCGCTCGGACTCTGATTTATTTCCGACTCGTTGACCAGGGAAGACTTCAGGTCTGCCAGGTCTCTCTCTGTAAATGCGTTTTCTTGGATTTTCTCCTCCTGTTCCCCTTCGTCTTTAAACGCTATCATCTCATCATTGGCTCCCAGGTCGTCCCCGCCGCCGCTGCTCAGCTGAGGCATGTCGACTGTTCCCCCTGCCCGGACGATGTTTCACACTTAAAAAAAATAACGACAACTCCCAAAAGAAAAAAAAAGAATAAATAAATAAAAGGGAGAAAAGTAATGGGACTTTGTGAGTTAAAAGTCCTCAGCGTGACGGTAGAAAGCTCCTCTCCACATGCAGTAACAGAGGAAAAGTTGAGCAGCGTGAGGCGGACAGAGAGAGCACTAATGTTTCTCCGCTACAGCAAACAGCTCATTTCAGACCAAAGACATGGCGAGGAGTCCCGACATCAAAAGGCGCCGACCGGATGATTGACAGCTGCGATGACTTGTTGGGGGGTTGTACGATTGTTTCTGCTGAGGCTGAGAGCCCTGCTTCTTAAAGAGACATCACCTCCCCGAGCCCAGCTCGAGCTCAACAGGCCATTATTCATGACTTTACAGGGGCGTGTTCGCACCAGCCACGGTCCACGGGCTGCAGGAGCCGCTCAGTACTAAGCTTAAAATAAACAAACGCTCTGAAAAGGCAGTTTTGCACTTTTTTTGGCTTAACCTTGTATTAATGTAATTTTCTCAAAATGTTTTAGTTAAACGTTTTGGTTAAAAATGACGTAGCCGAGTATTAGCCTAATGGGCTAAAACTCAGGCAACTTGTGTTTTATTTGGCAAATGCAGTTTTAACAAACTCCTTTTCTTGTTTATACACGGAATTTAGCCTCAAATGTTTCAATATTTTAATAATTATTAACACTTTTTTTAAATTAAAAAATAGTTTGTTTTCTCTTTTGTAATTATACAATCTGTTCTATCTGTGCTTTACCTTTTGCAGCAACTTTCCAGAGTATGGGATCAATAAAGTTTAATCTAATCTAATCTTTCAGATAAGACTGACGTGTCACAAATTTCTTACCTTAAATTATTATCTGATAAACCGACTGATAATCATCTACATTTTGGCACCTTTTTTCATTTACTGTTCCTATGTTAACCCACAGACTTCTTTGCTAGCTTTAATCTGCTTTTTATTTTATTTTTCAATATTTAAGCTAATTTTTATCCAAACCTTTTATTTTATTTTTCAATATTTAAGCTACTTTTTATTTTTAACCCTTTTTGTCTAATTATTGTTCTTATATTGGTTATTTGGGCTTTTTTTCTTTAGAAAATTTTGGTCATTTTTGCAATATCTTTATATGACTTAAGCAGTTATTGACACACTTTAGGACCATCTTATTTGCTGTAGTCTTCCTACTTTCTTTATCTTATTTCCTAAGCCAATTTTCTAATTACCTTTGATTAACATAACAATCATTTCACATTTGACACCACACGAGCTGTCTTAAGAACTATGGTCATTCTAGTCACTGTTTCCCACAATGAGTAAAACTTCAGGGACTTTCAACCTTTCTGAGGCAAACTGTCATTGACAACCGTTATATGATTTAATAAAATAAAAACACAACAATATAACTGACTGGAAACAAAAGTACTGAACATTCACTACATGCCTGTGACCTTTGATTTTTGAAACTTTTTTCTTGGCTTAATTTTTCAGCAGAGAATTCAGTTTGTTAACCAAGGAACTAAAGCCTATAAAATCCGTCTGTTCCCGTGAACTAAGATGACATCAGTGTGTATTTGAGTACAGGGTGGGGGAAGACAGAGCTGACCATCCATGAGAGGCTCCCAGCCTGCATTTTAATGCTAGGTGTGAACAGTTGTACTCAACACCCTTTGCATGTGATGGAAACCCAGGTCTGTTTAGAGTTTTCCCTGAAAGTGATTCAAACCTGATCAAGGCATGGATAACACATCTGGTCTAGTAAAACGCTATCATCAATTATTATGTTAAGGATGAAGTATTTTTGGATTAGAAAACTATGTTAATTTGTTGTCCACATAACACAAACACAGATGCTCCATTACAACTGATTACAAAGAAGCGAGTGTCAGACTTATGTGAAAATAATAGCGAAAAACTTTGCATCTGCTAAGGTTTTTTTGTTAAAATCAACAAAATTTACTTGCAAGCTTTTTGTTGCAGAATTTATTCACTCTGGAAAGTCTCTACGTCCATTCTTGTGGTAGACAAATTTATTTCCCCGATTTTCAATATAAATCACGTTCTATTCTTTATGTTTGTCTTTTAATTCACTGAGTTAAAAGGATGTGTGTCTCTGTAAATATTGCTGTTATCTGTTAGCACAATCTTTCTGCAATTCTCTTCAATCACCTATCGCTTGGGTCGAACAGGACAATGGGAAATTAATGTTAGACTTAAATTAGGCTTTTGTAACTTAAATACATTAAAAAAATTAAACATCAAGTTAAATGGTATAATGTGTGTTAAATCATTTATTCATTTTTTATAGTCTTTATTTTCTACCTCTAAATTCCAGCTAATCTCAGCAGTGATTGAATGAAGGAGGCCAGTGGTTCTCAAACTGTGGTCCGTGTAGCACCAGTGGTACGTGAGCGCTCTCTAGTGGTACGTGGGTAAAATTCATAGTTTCATGTTTACATTTTCAATTGAATAAATCTGAAACATACCATGCACAATTAATAATAGGTTTAGAAAAAATGTGCAGCTACTTGTGAGATTATGAAACAGGAAGCTAATAGAGAAGGCTTATGTTGCTATATTCTAATGTTGGTCATCATGGTGGTACTCAGAGAGCTCAATGTTTTCTCAGGTGGTACAGAGTATAAAAAGTTTGAGAACCACTGCCCCAGACAGTTTGCCAGTGAATTAAATGAAGTATAAAAGAGACACACACCCATTCACACACCCATTCAAGCCTGTGGTCAGAGTGTCCAGTTTACTTATTCTGCATGTAACTGTAGTACCTGAAAGAAACACCCATGTAGCTTCACGCTGAAGGACCATTATTCACCGTCAGGGCTCAAACACGCGATCTTTCTGTTGTAAGGCCAGCGTTTTAACCACTGTGTAACCTGCTGGTGTTGATTCTCACAAACCATTAGGATGGAGTCCTGATGATGCTGCACAAACCGGTCTGACATGACAGGTAACCAACCATTAGGGCTGTGCTCTGAGGTTTGGGGTTCTCTGTATTAGTTAAGAAAAACAAGGCCATATCTCAATTTCACCAAAGCTCTTGTATTTGTGTGGAATTCCACTGTAACTGTTTATAACTTGGTAATTATGCAGCGTGGAGTTTACTTCTCGTCCAGCAGATCTTTTGTATTAACAACTGTCACACTGCTCAGTCGGTGGTTCTCACATTTTGGAACAAAACTCTTCATTTGCATCAGTGAAACTTCTCCAAAAAAAAAAAAGTAGGACATTCTGTGAAAAACATCAGAAGGCACGGCCTGCTCATCAATAACAGAGACACAGCATGTTTTTGGCCGAGACGTACATCCCCCAGATTTTGTAACAGTCTCCCAAAACAGCAAAAAGTGCACGCTTGATTGGAGGAGGGAAGTAAGGAAAAAAAAACAAAGTTCAAAGATGTCGACTTGAAGTTCTGATGTCTTATCTGTCTCATAACTTGCATTCCCCTGTTTTCCTCCCAACGCCAATGCATTTTTAATGCTGCTACAGTAGCCTAGCTGTTCTTCTGAGGTTTTAATTGAGAAATGTTTATACACTCTAATGCAATGTCTTAATGTTTGACTTAATCTGAGTTGGTTGCCCTGAATAAGAATCACGATCCACGGCTGAGGAACAGAATTAAATACAAACAGTCAGAACCGGGTATTTGCATAAAACTGCATATTTATACAATATCATCAATGCATATTAATAAAAAGATTAAAACCAGCAGTTTAATGTATGCAAATCTAAATTATAAATGACTTGTTTAAACTCCTTGTTTATTCTGCTTGATTAAATATAGACAGCTGTTCCTCCAGAGAGGCAGCACCTCTCCTGCGCGGGACACTGCCTCGCGAGTTTGACGTACTCTGATCCTAAACACTTTCCCATCAACGGGTTCATCACACTTGTTCAGGCCTCTACCTGAGATTGCACACATAGATAGAAATGGTGGATTTATACTGTAGCAGTTAGCAGGTCTACCTTGCAAGCAGAGGGCAGAGAGTCTTGGGTTCAAGTCCCGGTGGAACCACATACTTGGTGCCTCCAAGAGGCAGAATGTTACAGCAGATCTACTGTTACCCCAAGAACTTATCAATTCTGGGATTAATGGATTATTGTTGTTGTTATTGTTATTGTTATTATTATTATTATTATTATTATTATTATTATTATTATTATTATTATTATTATTGTTATTATTGTTATTATTATTATTATTATTATTATTAGCATTAGCATTAGCATTATTATTATTATCATTATTATTATTATTATCATTAAAATGCATGAAACAAATACAGACATGAAACATTTCACTTGCTCATGTTTGGAAAGGAGCTCCAAAGACTAAAGTCTGTGTCTCCATGTGCTGTGAGCTATTCTCTTTACAACAAACTCACACATTCACAAACAAATGACTGCTGGTGGTGGAGACCATCATTTGCTGGCAGGAAAAGCAAAATAAGGAAACAAGAGTGGATAAACATCCTACGCAGAAACACAAAGAGACATACTGCTTCTCTGTGACCTCGGGTGGTGAGCTCTTCACATTGAAATGCTATCGCTATCTCAGCATGACAAAGAGCGTGGCTGCTCAGATAAAGGAAATGTGTTTGATGTAAAGGAGTAAAAGAGGGGAAAAACACCTGTTTCTACGCAGCAGTACGAGAACACTGATATTTTTGTGACCGTGAGTCACTGTATACATCGCGGTTTTTCCGTCTATCACAAATGAACAATTTGGAAATCAAAGTAAACGTTATATTTGATGAGCTTAAGATCAGATCCTTGATTTAACCCAATCCCTGAATAGGTTGGTACTCCATATATACATATTTACTATATTGCTGTCTATAAACATGTACTGCACCACACTCATATACTTCTCTGCCACTTCTATCTATCTATCTATCTATTGTACAAGTTTAGGTCTCAAAATTTGCTTTAATATAGTTTAAATTATATAATCTAATATTTTTATGTAACGTTTCTTCTTACTCTGCTTGGCTGCAACCAATATTTTTTAAGCATTCTCCCAAACTCCTGCGATTTATATAAAAAGTCACGTAAATTGTCCAGAACCTCTCAGTTTTTTGCATTGTGTTCTTCTGTATATACGGCACAGAATGACCCTAATGAGTCTTCTTCTGGAGTTCATTCATTAGCGCCGCAAATGTTCTTTCTTCAACAGGTTTTTGACATGAATCACGGTCGGTTCAAGAAAGCGATTATACACTGTGCTTTCTAAAGAAACATCAGGCACATTAAAGCGGCAGAGTAATTAAATCATGTCCTTTCATTGGGGTTAAGCCACATCCAAGCAAACAGCTCTTAACTGGAACCACTTGTGTGCATTTTATTGGTAGTTTTCCTACAATCAAAACCATATCCTCTAAAGCAGCGTCCAACCAGAAATGTGGAACTTTGACAAGTCCTTTCAGCAGCTATATGTCATGTAAGGCTCT